GCCGCTGCGCGTACCCCCGGAGCTCGGCCTCGCTCCACCGCTCCGGTGCCGTCTCGATGCCGGCGGAGGGCACGAGCGGCGGCGGGAGCTGAAAGGGGCACCGGGAGCGCCAGGACGAAGGCGGCAGGCCAAGGCGGGCCGCGCGGGGCAGGAAGACGGAGGTGAGTGCCCACCGCAGGAGCGACGCGCCGGGGCAGAGGAAGGGCGGGTAGGAGGAGCCCCGAGGTGGGCACGGGACGCGGGACGCGAGGAAGAGCTGCGAGTGGAGCGACGGCGAGTGGGAGGGGTGGGTCAGGATGTGCGTTAGGGCCTCGGTCCGTTCCGCCCATGTGGGAGTGGGAGTGGAACTGAGAGCGGTAGTCGCTGCTCGGCCTTGGGATTTAGCGTCGGCCATGGCGACGGCGGAGGAGGCGAACTGGCGAAGCCGGAGTGGACGGCGTCGGTTGCCCGGCGAGAGGATAAAGAAGAGCCGTTCCGGCGAACACGTAAATGCGGAATACGCCTTCTTCTCTTGTTCTCCCCGGTGTCTCGGCGCAGCCAGAGTATCCACGAAGATATGGCTGAATTCGTAGTTAGTTTTGTCTTTGTTTCGGAGTTCGATTCGAATTTCTGTTTGAGATTTTTGACGTGATCTGTATATGTTGAATCCATGCCACAGTTTTTCCCAAATGAAAGTGTCATAGGCCTAAGCTTTTCGATGACAATTCTAGTCACGCATGGATGTTAAATTTCAGCGACATACGGCAAGTTTCTGTCAAAAACAAACCGAAGCACGAAGTTGTCATGCTTGCAACCTAAAGCTGCCATCCTCACGTAACTAAACTTGCTATAAAAACATTCAATTTGTCATGTGCTCGTACATGACATGTGACAATTATTAGGGTCCTTGTTTTTTCTAGAAAAATTAGCGGACCCTACACATTGATCGGACGATAATCCTATAAGATCGACTGCGCGGGCAGCCGTTCGATGGAGTCATTTGATCCCTCCATGTGAGCCACCGAGTCTTCGCAACAAGCCTTGTGTTACGCTCAACACTTTACAACACGAGCCTCGTTGCAAT